ATTTCTACATATTAATAGGGATTTACTTGCCAGTGTCAGCTGTGTCCTCTTGTACAACTTTGCTCTGTTTTTTTCTCCGTCTCGTAGCCTGAAACAAACACAACAGCTTCAGTGAACGATTTACCATTTACGTTTACCAAAAGCCCAACTTGAAGTCTGTAAATTCCTTTGCTATGTCTGACAAAACACTGTGCTAACGGCAGAGATGTTCGTGTTACTTTTAGCATTTTTATCATTAAAGACAGAAAAATTAACTCTTCGCTAAATAGCTACCCTTTCTAATGTAATAACGGTATTATATCCTAGTACTCGACTATAATCAGACTCATGTTTTGTACAATTTTAATTATGATAATTTACAAGTTAACCGACTGCTAGCTCGTGAGTTCGCACTGACCCCAACCAACAACGTGATATAAACGCTTAACACAATGCATTATTATCACATCAAAGCCTGTTTGTGTAAGTTGCACAAATGCGGTATAACTCTTACGTCTGTTTTTGCCATATTAAACGTTTAAGTAGCACAAAATCATAGGCTGAAACAATTGTAGCGTCAGTCAGAAACCATACACGCGTGCTAGGATGAAAACATCCACATGCTACCGGACTTGAGTACCGTACTGCGCATGCGTACGATGTACTCTACGGATGCCCGCACAGAAACACGTAAGTAAGTTTACGCGGTTTTACGACTATTACTTTCGTTATTCCTTGCTGATAATTACACTACCGTGTGCGCTACCCCACAGTGAGGGGAGCAGATCCCGGGAACAGGTTCGAAGAAAGCGGTTAGACAGATTTGGGGAGGTTTTTGGAAGCTAATTACTATTTAAATGTCTTCTAGCCAGTTAGCCCTAGCTTAACTTTTGAGTTTGGTGAACTTGTGAAAAGTATTTCGGCTCCAGCCAAACTTTGGACTCATTTTCACTTTTAGCTACTGAAATTTGTGATGCCAATGTTTGCTCTGCTGGAAAATCATGCTGTAGCAATCTGTTGACTCAAACAGGCTGGAACCCGAGTCCAAAGGTGGAGTTACAGTCCCAACACGAAACCCGGTGCAGATAAGCTACTATCGGATTAAACGAGCCATTCAGGTTGTACACAACACCACAATGAGTTGGTCACAAATGGCGTGGGACGGCACTGAGACAAAGTAGGACACACTTTCCCACAATGGGGAGCCACAGGAACGGTTTCAAGAAGGAAAGCTACATTTTGTCGGTGGACGTGGGCACAACGTCAATCAGATGTCACGTCTATGACAAGGAGGCAAAGATCCGAGGATCATGCTCTACAAAGGTATTCATCTGTTCTGCCTTTTTAATTCCTCACATAAACCACCCACTTGGTAAATAAATTAAATGCAGCATCCACACAAACTTGATCTTTCCCCAGGTTGTGCTCCTCTATCCAGAGGTAGGACATGTGGAGATGGACCCAGATGACCTGTGGAAAGGGTTTATCTCTGTGGTTAAAGGAGCTGTGCAAGGTACATCTGCTCCAATTCCTACTTTTATGTCAATCTGGAGATGTGCCATGAAAACGTGTTTGTCCCCTTCCTGATTCCTAAGGTTTTTTGTATATTGGTCACACTTGAATCTAAAGATAAACACTTTTATTTGCCATTGTTGCACTAGGTCAGGGTACCTTGGAAATCTCGTGGATAATGGCTATCACTGTGGTTCAGAGTCCCAAAGCCTTAGAAATGGCTTTGTAACCATTTCTAGGCATGTTGTAATGCAAGCATAATAGATAAAACACTACCGAAGTTTCACATAGTTCATTTAGTTTTGTTATCAAAGAGAACATTGCGTGCGAAAGATCATATACTGATATTCCAGTTAAGGACACTTGGCTTTTAGATTTTTTTTTAAATTGTTCTTTTTGTTTATCATTTACTGCAATGTGAATGTGTTATGTTGGAAGTTTTTTAGAAAAACGATCCTTGTCCTTCTTCTTCTCCGCTTAACCGTTTTGTGCTCGTGTTGCTGTCCTGATCATATAGATGCAGGAATACAAATGCACCAGGTAGAGGCCCTTGGCATCTCCACTCAGCGCAGTACCTTCACAACATGGGACAGGTGAATAGCTTTGCTCACATACCTACTTTAGCACATCTTTGAATAATTCATGCCCTATGCTGGCTTTTCCTCTAGTTTGTTTCTCATCTCCTCCTCTGCTTTGACAGGAGAACTGGGGTTCCTTTCCACAACTTCATCAGCTGGCAGGATCAGAGAGCTGCAGACCTGGTGAAGTCCTGGAACAGATCCTGCACCATGAAAGTGAGGCTGCTCCCCATTTCTATCTTTCATGATCTTTAGTCAATAGATTGGACTTTAAAGGCAAAGGCAGGAAAAATTTTCAAATAAATATAATGTTCCCATGTAAACTCAGAATTCTTTTCAACCAGTGCTGGATGTGCTTTTTGTTTATCCAACTTATTTGTTTGTTTGTTTGTTTGTTTGTTTGTTTGTTTTTACAAAAATCTCAGGCAATCCATGGTGCAATGAAGGTCCTCTACTTTGTTACCAGGCAGAAACGGTTGCTTGCAGCAAGTCTCATCGTCTTCTCCACTCAGCATGTCACTTTTCGCCTCGTCTGGGTCTTAACACATTACAAACAGGTGTGTGGAAGGGTTAACTAACGGGCTTGTGCTCAAAACTAGAGTAACACATTTGCACACATTTGCATCCATAACAACTGGGAACAATGTGGGCCACTGTTTAATTGCAATCAAACAATTCCTTTATGTGTGAAAAATCACAACTAAGCGATGAATTCAGGAACAGTGAGTGCACTGAAAAGTTAAAGTTCCCTCATATTTGACGGAATATAACAAATCATTCATTACTATTAAGGGTTAGACTCTTACAGTTGTTACCATCAGTATAAGAGAATAAATAACTATTTGCCATTTGTAAAGGATTTTCCAACCACTAGTCTGTATGTATTTTTAATACATATTCAAAGTAGATTTGTGGAGTAATCATCGGCTCCTGTGCATGGATAACATCAAGCTGTACAACCGGCATGAGTGAGACATTGACTCATTGATCCTCAGCCTGAATAAGTGTGACTCAGTGGTGTCAGAGTGTGGGAAGGGGATCCACACCAAAAGGTTTTCGAGAAGGCAGGATGACAAGCACATAGAACAGCTACAAGTACCCACAGTCCTTTGGGTTCCACAATGAAGATCTAAGACTAGTCATTTAATACTCAACTGTAATATTAAACAGGAGGAGATACACTGATATGTCAAGACACAAAAAAACTGCTCACAAAAGGTTAGGTCTCCACCCAAAATCTGACACCCTGAGGCTGTGCAAGTAGCGGAAAGAGGTGAGGCAAGGATTAGACGGTGACGGAGGATACATGAGTAGGTTAGGAAGATGGTTCCACTTGAGATGAAGAATACTTCAGGCATGTGAAGAAAGATGATGGTGAGGGAAAGGAGGAGGAAGCATTGTAAAAGACCAAAAGCCTGCATTGGGATGTTCCATCGACAGGTAGAGGAAGTGGCTGACATCAAGAAATCCCAGCAGGGGCTAGAAAAATGTTGGCTTTAACCCTCTCAGGCTAAAATTAAACTTTTTGTTGCTAATGCACAACCAACAACCAACAACCCTGCAGTGGTACTTCTGAGTAAAAAAAACTCATAAAATATGTATGTGGGGTAATCAGGTTGTTAGTTTTTAACTGTTGCAAATCTGCAACGCTTGCCTGGAGAGGGTTAAGGACAGCACAGAAGCTCTGATAATGGTGGCAGAAGAACAAACCCTAAGCACCAGATTCTTAGAGGCGGGAGTCTAATGAATGTGGACTAAAAGTCCCAAAGTACTGATGGGAGACACCTCTGAACACTAGGGCTCAGATCCTGAGATAAACAGAGAAGTGTCAGTGGCTGAAGGAACAACTGGACCAGGTGTGGAAGATACAGTTCAAAATGGTCCCAGTGGTAACACCAGCATCAGGAGCTATAACCCTAAAAGTGGATGAGTGGCTCCAGCAGATTGAGGACACATCAGAGATTTCTGTTCAGAAGAGTAAAGTCCGAGGACAGCTCGGCTAAAGCGGAATTTATGCTTTGCATGTTCACAGTCCACCGCCAATCAGGGGATGGCCCGTCTACCTACAGAGAACTCTGTTGTTAATGGAGGCAGAGTACAAAGTATGTGGTATAACTGGTTTGTGGGCTGATTGCTGTGTGCTGTTTGTGGTCCGTCAGCCACCTGCAGGGAAGAGCAAGGTTCAAATATACAAAGCGCTGAAGTCAAACAAAGAGTCCACTGCAGTCACTCTCAAAGCTTCTGTATTATTATTATTTTTACGTTTTTTTGTGTGTTTGTTTGGTTTTTTATGCTTCTCCCGTTCCCGGTGTACTCCGCTTTCCTGCTCTGGCCCACTTATCAACCAATCAGCATTCAGCATCCAGCGACATGCAGTTAGGATTTTGGAGGAATGCATGGGAGCACGGCTGTGATGGGAGAAAAGCCCTCAGGTCTCGCTGTCCGAACATAAAACGTGTACGCAGACTGACACATTTACAGGAACATAAATTACGCTTGAGATGCTGCGCAGAACCCTCGCTCCCAGCTTTTCCCTCTTAAGAAACACAAACATGCTACGCCCCAGGAGGGAGGTTTTTATTTATGTAAAAATAAACTTGTGTTGATGCCCTTATGAACCAAAGAGTTGATTAATAAAAAAGGAAAGGAGAAGCATGGAGATGGCCCACAGCATTCTTCTGTTTTCAGCCTCGTCATGTTTCTTTCTTCTTTCAGGTTTGTCAAGCAATAGATGAAGGTTACTGCTGCTTTGGGACAATAGACAGCTGGCTCCTGTTTAAACTCACAAAAGGTGGGTTTGCATTGTTTAGCTTGGTTTCCCAGACATCGAGTAAGCCTAGCCCAAAAACACTTTTTCCTTTTTTTTTCCTTTCAGGGGAGAATTTTTTTCTAGCTATTCTCGTTTAGCCTCTTGAACTCAGTGACATCTAAAACAAGTTCAGTAATATAAGATTTGTGCAGTGAACTGTGATTTTGTACAGTTCCTAACAGGATAATAATCCCCAGACAGAATGTCCTTTGTCTTATCAATCCTACTGAGTCACTGATTGGCTGAAATTCCTCAGGAATGTTTCGGCTCACTCCTGGGGAGGAGATTTGGGAAAGTGACAAGCAGCTCGAGTTTTTTGTTAATTAACCTTTCTTTTAGAGACTGATTATATGCATCTCCTAATCTGTTTCAGGACACCTGCATGCCACCGATTACTCTAATGCCAGTACAACAGGGATTTTCGACTCTTATCAGGTCTGGTGTCAGTCAGAATTATTTACTGTTTATTCTGTGGTTGGTTTGAGTTTGTCTTTTTATATCCCTGTAATGTGACTTGCTTCATAGATGTGCTGGAGTGGGTTTCTTTCCTCTCTTGTGTCCCTGCCGCTCTCTATTTTCCCCAAAGTAGAAAATACAGGGTGAGTGGGCCATTCGCTTCCAGTTACATCTGACACTTTGTTCATGTTTTAGCAAAAGTCGCTCATATTAATAAACATGATCACATTTGTCTTTGTATTCTATGTTTTTAAATTTAAACATTAATCATTAAATTTAATGAA